CAAGTGCGCCAGTATACAGTAGAACCAGGGGACAGTGGGACACCTCCACCTGCTCTACCTCCCACCCAGGAGGCGGCGAGCATCATGTAAACAATGTCATCTCTGACCATACCCCACAAAATACAATGTAATGTACATGTATCTAGTAAATACTGCAGCTGCTGAGAATGGAGGGAGGCCAGAGTCGTTACCAAGATCAGAGACATGACCAAGAACAAATTCCGGTTTGCAAGTCAAGTACGGTCTCTCCTCGATTTACGACATATTCAACTTACGATAACCCGGACATACGACCGCCGTGGTTGTATAAAATATTTTTCACATTATGTATTTTCAAGTCCCGAGACGTTTGGTCGTAATGTGACCCCATACGATAGCTAGGGCTGGGCCGCCTCGCGGTGTACAGCATCCACACCATAGCCCGCTCAGTTGTTGTTTGGCCGTCTTTGTTGTTGTTAGTGAACGCGCTGTGTACTGACATAATTTTCGTTTGTAATTCCCTTTAAAATGGCTGGCAAGCGTAAAAGAGAGAGTTCTCGTGGTGCTAAGAAGAAAAAAGAGACAGTCAATTGCTTTTGAGATGAAAATGAAAATAATAATGCAATATGAAAATGGAAAAACGGTAGCAACCATTTCACGCTTCTTTCATTCGACGATATAAAAAATTTTGAAGGACAAGGAACAAATTCATGAGGTAGTGAAAGGATCAGCACCTATAAAGGGAACAATAATAATGAAAAAAGGAAAAGGTCCTCTTCATGAGATGGAGAAATTACTTGTGATGTAGATGGAAGATCAGCTGCAAGAAGCCTTTTTGAAAGCCTGAAGAGCAGGCAGGAGATGAGTGTGACCAAACTTTCACAGCAAGTCATGGGTGGTTCCAAAGGTTTAAGAACTGTTACAGTTTGCAAAGTGTAAAGGTGAGTGAAGAGGCAGGAAGTGCTGATGTGGGTGCTGCCGAAGCTTTTAAGGAGGAGCTAGATAGTGTCATCGTGGAGGGAAATTATTTGCCTGAGCAAATATTTAATGTGAATGAAACTGGCTTATTCTGGCAGCGCATGCCTGAATGGACATACATCCACAAAGAGGAGAAAAGCATGCTGGGATTCAATGCATTCAAGGACCGAATCACACTTTTGTTTGGGGGGAGAATGTAGCTGGTTTCAAGGTAAAACCCTTCAAGATATATCATTCAGAGAACCCAAGGACTTTTTAAAATGTTAGCAAGCACACACTGTCAGTGTTTTACCGCAGTAATAAGAAAGCATGTATGACCCAAACACTGTTTGAGGATTTTTGAGTTGTTTCATTCCATGAGCCAAGGAGTATTGTCTGCAACAAGGGGTTGCGTTCAAGATTTTATTAATTCTAGATAATGCTCCGGGACACCCACCACACCTGGAGGACCTGCACCCTGATGTTAAGGTAATCTATCTAACACTACCTCTATCATTCAACCCATGGATCAAGGTGCTATTGCTGCTTTTAAAGCGTATTATTTACGTACGACCTTCGCTCAGGCTGTTACTGCTACTGAAGGTGAGAAAATGCTCTGAGAGTTTTGGAAGGACTGCAACATTTTGCAATGTACAAAGAACATAGCTGCAGCATGGGATGAGGTTACAGGTCAGTGCATGAATGGAATATGGAAGAAGGTCCTGAAAAGATATGTGAACAGTTTTGGAGGATTTAATGAAGATGAAGCAATTTCTGATATTAGTAACAAGATAGTGCAGATGGGTCAACAGCTGGAGTTAGAAATTGATAATAAAGATGCTGAGCAGTTGGTGGAAAGTGTAGCAGAAGAGCTCAGTAACGAGGATCTTATTGAACTAGATGCACAGAAAATTTCAGAGGAAGAAGAAAGACAAAATGTAGAAGAAGAACCTGCACCCCCCAAAAAGTTTTCAGTAAAACAAATGGAAGAGGCATTTGCTACTATATTAATAAGGGGATGCAAATCTTTGAAGAAATGGATCAAAATGTAGAGCGTTTTGCAAAAGTTGACATACTGATCCAAGATGCACTTGCTTGCTACAGGGAAATTTACAATGAAAAGAAAAGGCAAACTGTGCAATCTAAATTGGAGATCCTTTTTAAGAAGTCCCCCACTGGTCTCCTCATGCCCCACCACTGCTGCCTCTTCACTCCCTAAAGATGATCCAATACCTTCAACAAGCAAGTATGTTAGCCTGTCTGAAGAAAGCGAACTTGAAGACCCACCCAGCCCTGTCTCCTCCTCTGCTTCATCCAATTAATGTAGTCTCCATGCTTAATTAAAAAATTATTGAGGCCCCGTGTGCATTCAGCTGACTACATTGAAGGTAAGTGCACAGTAACACTGTATCCATTCTTCATTATTGGTTACTTTTACTGTACTGTATTTCATTTCAGAATTTCTATGTATATTTTTGCCTTTTTGACTTACGACCAATTCGACCTACGACCTGGTCGTAGGGACAGAACTCCGTCGTAAGTCGAGGAAAGACTGTACGCCCCTGTACACTAATACTGACATGTTCTTTGATATGAGAGCAGAGTTTGATACCCTACTCAAAGTACATCAACCCGATATAGTACGTGTTGTAGAACTGATGAACAAGAACAGAATTGACTCAGAGAAAAGTGAATTCAGTATAAACAGATATGACTCATTTTAGAACCTTTCTCAAGCAACTTGCAAGAGGGGTGTGGTTATCTATGCTAGGCAAGACCTTAGAGCAAGCCAGGTGAGGGTACAGGGAGAGGATGTTTTGAAGATTCAATGTGGTGTAAAATTAAACAAAAGAGGAGAGACTTACTTATTGTCAGATGTATCTACAGATCTCCAAACTGTAGCATATTAAACCAATTGAACTTAAGAGCCTTAGTTGACAATGCAACGGTGCTCAACCCTAGCCACCTCATTGTCATGGGAGATTAACTATGGCAACATCGACTGTAGAAATGAAACCACGCCAAACAACCTAAATAATCCCACTACTCTTTTTGTAGAAACTCGGAGAGATAATTTCCTATTCCAACATGTTAAAGATCTGACCCACTACAGAGGGGAGCAAACACCCAAATCACTGGAACATAACTAACAAGGAGGGTATGGTGACCAATCTGGAACACCTAGCCCCAGTTGGCACTAGCCACCACGTAACGTTATCCTTCAGATTTAACTGTTACCTGGTTCAAGAAAAAACCAGACCAAGGTTCAAATATTACAAGGGAAATTACAATGGGATGAGGGAGAAGATGAGGAGAATTCACTGACCTGACTCACTAAGATACAAGAACACAGACACTACGCTGAATATCCTAGCCAGTAAAGTGAACCATTTGATTGACAAATATATACCCAGTGCCTCCAGGAATACAAGGAGAGCGCTACACATGAACCATGCGGTGGTCAACAAAGTGAAGAAGAAAACCCCAAAATCCGAGACGTGAGTTAGGACAAATCACGAGCAGGACAGGGGGATGTATGCCAGATCCAGGAACCAAGCAAAATCAGAGTGTAGAAGGGCTGAAAAAGAGTTCCAGAGGCAGATTGTAAGCAAGGTCAAGTCAAACCCAGAGGCGTTTTACAGATAAGCAAAGTCGAAATTAAAAACACGAGTAGGCGAATCGGACCTGAGGCTTGAATATGGTAGTTATGCAGTTTCTGACCAGGACAAGGCGGAGGCGTTGAACAGATTCTTTTCCTCGGTGTTCACAAGGGAGGATGCAAACAATCTTCCTGTGTTTGAGGACAGACAATTTGACAGAGCTGACCCACATTGTGTTCTCAGAGTGCTAAGAGAGTTGTTCAATGACCTTGCTGAGCCCCTGAAGATCCTGTTCTGTAAATGCCTGGATTAGCAAAAGGTCCCCAGTGACTGGAAAAATGGCTTCTGTGAATCCTATATCCATGAAGGTCAATCGTCACTCACGAATAATTATAGACCAGTGAGCCTGACCAGCATAGTGTGAAAAGTACTTGAGAGCATTATAAGAGATGCCATGATGGAACATTTACTGCGAAACAACCTTGTAAAGGACTGCCAACACGGTTTTATGCTGGGACGCTCCTGTTTCACACAATTATTCAAGGTACTGGACGTTTGGACCCAAATTCTGGACAATATTTACCTAGATTTTGCCAAGGCATTCGACAGCATACCCCATGAAAGGCTGAAAATTCAACTGGAAGGGTACGGGATTCTGGGAAGTGTTCAGGTATCTAGTAGCGATCTTCAAGAGTGAGGTTCTTCCCCACCTGGAGTACTGTCACCCCTTTTGGTCCCCGAGATGTACTAAGGACTGTCAGTTGATTGTACATGCCCAAAGGAGGGCCACCAGAATGGTGCCTGCACTTCAGCACCTCAGTTATCCAGAGATATTAGAGCGCTTGCAACTGCCTAGCTTTTACTACAGACGGGGAAGGGGCGACCTAGTTGTCGTGTATAAACATCTAAGTCGAGTGTCCATTCCTGGAGCTGGCAGATGCTTGTTCCATAAGGGGTCACAGCTCAATGTTGAAGAAGCCACAAATCCAGAAAACTGTGAGGGCAAACTTTTTCAGAGTGAGAATTGTGAACTCTTGGAACAATCTGCCGGAGAGTGTTGTGACGGCACCAAGTGTGAGCTCTTTCCAGGCCAGACTTGACTAACACTGGAGCAAGATCAGATATATTCAGAAACCAGTGCATGCCCAGTACTAGCCAACAATGTGTAACAGAGACGAGACCGACTGCCCAAGCAGCTAATGAGTCGATCAGTGGTGAAGAGGATAAAAGAAAATGTATTTTACAGTACTTAAGTACTAAATTACACTACTGTAGATGGGTAGTCATTTTCCTTCATGTCATTGAGGAACCGAAATATATTTTTCCCATTTGTAAAGAGAGGGATACCTGTCATCATGTACTTGGTAAGCCATTAAATTAACAATAAAGTTGAAATATTTAAAAATAAAATTATACCAAAACTGATACAACAAACTTTTGACTTTGTTTCTGGCAGCAACTTACGAGGGGTCAGCATCAATGAGCCCCCAAGCTCCAAGAATAGTCTCAGCATCTGGGACCAACAACTTCTTACAGTCGTCTATAACATGCTTGACGTGTTCAGGCGTCATGGACGACTCTTCATCATCCCCTGGTACTTCAAGGTTTATCAAGTCTTCCGTTACAGGGTTTCCTGTAGAAAACACAACATGTATCAATAAAATAAAGCTTCACTATAAAAGTAAAATGGAATCATGTACACATAGGGAAAAGTTATTGTACGAATAACACTGAACAATAAAAATACACATAATACAAGGGTTATAAAGTTGTTGAAATATCAGAAATACCATAATGGTACAGTATACTGCAGTATGGAAGTGAATTACCTTGATTTTACTAATAGACTTAAGTCAGTGCATATATATAATACAATGTATTTATAACAACCCCTTTAATTTAAAATAACCAATGTGTTTTCATGGAGAGTCATGTACCCATTCAATATCTCACCAAAATGCATTACAGTACACATAAGAAGCCTTCATCTGTGTTTTATAAATTTAGGTACACAAGCATGCCTTAACTACATACATACATTTATTCATTTATTTTTTTTTTTACGGGAATTAGCCCACCCGGGCACAGGTCGAACGACCCACAACAGGGCCTGGGGGGCGAAAAAATAAGAACAGAAAGAAATTAAAAATAAAGAAGAAAAAGGTTATACGTACTGTGTTAATCTACACCATGAAGATGCCGGAAAACCAGCTTTTTAAAGTGAGACAGATTGTATAAGTATGGAAACACAGAAGAAGGCAGACCATTCCACAGTTTGGCTGTGTGAGGAAAGAAGAAGGTACTATAATGGGTTATTCTCGTGTGACCGACATCCACAGAGAAACAGTGGGCACCGCGGGGAAGACATGTGTTACGAGCCCACAGCCTTGCCGGCGGTACACAGGATGCCAAATCTACTGAACATTGCCCGTTAAAGTACCTGTAAAAGAGAAAGTGAAGCAACACTGCGGCAAAGAGAAAGGGAAGAAAGATTGTTGACTTAAGGAGAAGAGTTAATAAGACGAAATGCCTTTGATTCCACCCTATCTAACAGTTGGACAGAAGAAGAGCCACCCCAGAGCAGTACTCCAACTTAGGATGAATGAATCCCTTAAATACTTGAAGCAACTGCTCAGGAGTGAAGTAGCTACAGTATCTGTACAGTATTCCCAACTATTGGGAGGCAGCTTTAACTACGTTAAGGATGTGTGATTTCCAGGACATACAGGTATCCCTCATTTAACGATGAGGTTATGTTCCTGAAAAAACCTATTGTTAAGCAAAATTATCGTTAGACAAGGGATAACAGCAAAACAAGGAGGGCAAACAACAGGCTCAAATAACAGTGTGGGAAACACTGAGTACAGGGGATCTCTGGGTTACGAAACGAGTTCCATTCCCGAGGACATTCTTTAGTTAGAAATGTTAGTAAGTCGGAACACATACCCTAAGTGCACGAGATCATAACCCAAGTCCCTTTATACACCTCAACTCACTTAATATAAGAGAAAAGAAGAAATTGAATGACAAAATGTAGTAAAGAAAAGTAGAAATTGAAGTCTAATACTTGCATTGAAACCTAGGACTGGCTTGCATGTAGAGATGGGCATTTGTAGGAGTGACAGAGACTTTATTGGGGTGAAACTGAAGATGGTGATGATGATGTAGATGTTAACAGGACTGGTTCTGGAGTATCTGGTGAGGTAGAATTAACTGGTTCTGGAGTTGATGGGACTGGTTCTGCAGATGGTGGAGAGGTTGATGGGACTGGTTCTGTAGATGCAGCAGAGGTTGATGGGACTGATTTTGGCTGTATTTTGACTCTTTAAACTTTTCAAGGGATGGTTGAACTGAAACTCTTCTTTTCGTCATAAATTTCTCTGTAGCATCATAGACATTCAGTAATACCTCTATGACTCTTGCTATGTTGGTATCTTGCAGTTTAAATTTAAACAATTCTTCATCAATAAGCCTGAAACCATCTACCATTTCTTTTGTAATGAATCACTTTGGTTCTGGAGTTTCAGCTTCCTCTACATCCTCTGACAAAATTTGCTTCTCCAGTTCAATCAGCTCCTCAATCCTTAATTCTTCAGCATTAGAATCAAGCAACTGTGTGACATCATCCTCATGAATATCAAGCTGGAATTGGTTCCCAAGGTCTACCACTGTCTGTGTCACTTCCCTATCATCATCTTCAGAGCCCCTGAAATTGTGGACAAACTGTGGGCAGAGTTTTTTCCAAACACTATTCATGTTGGTTTCTTTTACCTCAGCCCATGAACCTGCATTTTTCACAGCATCATAAAGGTTGTACGACTTCCAAAATTCTTTAAAAGTCCTACCTTCTTTTTGTTCTGTTGCACTGATAGCTTGAGCAAATGTCCTGTTCAGGTAATATGCTTTAAATGAAGCAATAACTCTCTGGTCCATAAGTTGTAAACCAGATGTTGTGTTTGGAGGTAAGAACATAACCTTAATGTTTGGATGAACATCATCTAAAAAAGCTGGATGGCGAGGTGCCTTGTCAAGTACCAATGAAATTTTGAAAGGTAATGACTTTGAAATACAATACTGCTCCACTTCAGGCACAAAATGATTTAGGTATCAGTCTTCAAAAGGGAACTACAGTGATCCCTCGGTTAACGAGCGCCTCGGTTAATGAATTACCTTCCATAAGATTCTTAACTTCGGTTAACGAGCATTCCCTCGATTAACGAATTCCTTACGAGCGCCCCTCCACATGTTTTCGCTTGCACACTAGCTGTAATATTAGTCCGCCAATACAGTAATCGGTTCTAGGGCTTAAATTCCTTACTATTTTAGTAAATATCAAGAAGTTTGTACTATTCAATAATTTCAAAAGTCTTATATTGAAATTTTTAGTCATTTTAACAATTATTTAACATAATTTAAGTACAGGGAAACTAGTTTTTAGCGCGCCAAACAGCCTGTCAACACACCATACAGGCATCAGTCTCTGTGTCTTTTCAGTGGAGGAAACATCTTGCTTGAGAGACTCTTCAACATAATTGCTTTTTTTCTGTGTTTCCAGTCAAATTATAATTATTGGTCATTTTGAAATTTATTTTACATATTGACAATATATAATGCAGTGCAGTGTTGATTTAAAGAAAATAATCTTGAATTACACCAAGTGAACTAAAATTTTATGGGTGAAATGGCGCCATGGGGTGACTCTCTTCCACCCCAATGCCTTCTCTTCTCCCTTCTCTTCCACCTCAAAGTAAGTGTACTCTACTACCTTTTTTGTTGACGAGGCAATTTTCGGTGAGCTGGAGCCAATTACCCATAAACCCATTGAAACAATGGTTTCGGTTAACGAATTTTTCGGTTAACGAGCAACCTTCTAGAACGAATTGTGCTCGTTAACCGAGGGACCACTGTATGTCGAACAAGCCTTCTAATTAGATTTCCAGATAACTGAAAGTGCTACCTTGAAAACACCCTTCAAAGCTTTAAGATTTTCTGACCAGTAGACATGCAAAGGTTTCCAGTTTCATCAATATTAAAAACTTGCTCAGCACAATAACCCCCTTCTTGAATTATTTTAGTTAAAGCAGCAGAAAATTCACTTGCTGCAGCTTCATTCACACTAGCTGCTTCACCTTGCACTTTAATGTTAGGTAAGTTTGCCCTTGCCTTGAGCCACTTAAACCAGCCCCTACTAGCAACAAAATTTTCCTCATCACTTTCACCACCACATTTAGCCTTTAAGTCAGTGTGCAAGCTTCTCACTTTTTCCTGAATCAAGGCTAGATTTCAGGCAATTACCAATGATTTTGATCTTCCACCCATATCATTAACAATCTTTCCATTTCAATTAACAATCCACTTCTTTCTTTTATTATCACAGTTGACTGCATTGGTGAAGATCCTTTTACATGTTCAAGAATTTTCTGTTTATTTTTCAAAATTGTTCCAACTGTTGAAGCCAATGCTTTTCCAATCACTGATGGTGTTTCACCGTTTTCAAAACGTTTAATTACATCAACTTTCACTTCCATCATAATTGTTTTCCCTTTCTTGGGTGCACTGCTATTATCACTTGCATCAAGTTTGTGTTTGGGAGCCACGATGAGGGCATAAAAAGAGAGTAAAGAAGAAAAAACAACAGTTTGCACTTGATCACACGTTAATGTGGTGAGGGTAAGCGCACTGACTCTCCCTCAAAGTGTGTGGCTGGGTGACGCATATCTCTCCACCCGCCGCTCCGCCTCGCAAACTAGTTCTCTCACGTAAATATTACAAACCAGTTCTAGTTATGTCGGATTCTTAAGAAAAGCTGTTTTTTTTTCTAAAAAACATGTTTTTGTGAAAAGGCCAGAATGCAATGTCTAGCTTTGTACCTGCATATGTATATGCCCTGCATTAACTTGCCAGGCCAACATACAGGTAATTAAAACATCTAATAATTACAGTTGGCCCTTAACATACGCGGGGGTTACGTAACAAAGATAGCCGTGGATGTTAAAAATCCGCGTATATGTGCTGCCCCCCCCCCACCCCAAAAGAAACCCTGGCCCCCCATGTCCTTATTTACCGTATATACCTGTGTGTAGTTCGAGTTTTTAAGATCAAATTATTTTGCAAAAAATTGGGGGTCGACCTCTAAAAGGATAATAGTTTCGTTAGGTTGAAAAATATTTACCAGTAACTACCAGAAAACAATGGAAACGACGCACCAACGCACCACCAGCTGTGAGTGTCGGTACAGTCGCCAGGGCAGATCTCTTGCGTCATCATAGCTTGCCCAAAGTAGCCAAATGCATGGTATGGTATACACAGGACGATGTAAAACAAAGTATTCATTTGTTAAAGTTTATTTATAGATACTGTACATAAATTTTTGTTCATTACATTTGAAACATCAATCTTTGTTAATTAAATTTGATACAAAAGAAAACTACGATACCGTATTTTCATTAAAATATTACATCACAAGTATATTTTACCTTAACTGTGACTGAATGAATATATTCTCAGAAATAAATATGGAAATGTAATATTTTGGCTGAAATGACGTACATATTACTGTACAGTGGAAATTGGGATAAAATTATGAAAACAATGACTTTCGCTTTCTTTCGTTGTTCAAAATATTTTACAGTA